GTGTCACTTGGAGGAATTGACCTCCAGGCCAATTTGCTGTAAGGACCAGCTGCGACTACAGTGGGAGAGTTGCTGTGTAGGAGATACCCCTATGGAGCAGGACTTACTTCAGTGGGGCTTTGGTGCTCACTGAGTCTGCCTCTTGAGTGTGTTGCTTGTGGATGTGTAGAGTTGTAATCTGGTATGATCTGACACTGACCACTGGGTACACTGGCTCTTGGATCTCCAGGGAGGTGCAAAGTCAGCCACTGCCTGGGGCCACCCAGCAGAAGCTACAGAGAGATCTGCAGATTCCTCCTCTTTGTATCAGGGTTGGAAGTCCCCAGATGAGGCCCAGCTGTGAAGCAAGGCAGGCTGGTGCTGGTGCTGGTGCCAGGTCTTGGGCCTTTTATTGATAAGTTTGGGGCTCCCTGACCCAGCTGCAGCTTGTTTGAGAGATTTTAGCCTGAGCAAGGACAGGCCATTCATATGCAAAAGCCACTGCACACAGGTTGGGTGGGGTTGTAAATTGGATGAGACAGGGTCTTAGGGAATCACCAGGGTGGAGCAAACAGAAATAGCTGCCAGTCAGCCCTGCCTGGGGGGTTCCAGCATAGGAACAATGATCCCTGCTAGCACCTCCATCTGGGAGAAAGCTACCCCCAAGTTCCTGCCCCGATACCAGACAATCCAGTTCCTTGTCATATGTGTCTGTGTCCCCCAGAGCCTCGCCCTGGTGCTGGAGCTCAGAGGAAGCGGGACCTTGTAAGTTCAGTTGGTGGTGCCAGCCTTTTAAGAGGAACAGCTGGGTCTCCAGCAGCCTGTGTGTCACTGAGCCCCAATCCACACTGGTTTTACAGCCTGTAGGGACTTCTTTTCCCAGCTCTGGTACCCTGGGCTGGGGGTCTGGTGTGGGGCTGGGACTCCTTGCTCCTCCCGGTGGCCTTTGCAGAGACGCTCTCCCTCCCGATTAAAAACTCGGCCCACGTGGGTGTCAGACCAACCCGATCCACACCTCCACATCTCCTACCAGTCTCAGTGTACTTTCTTTTTCTTTTTTTTTTTTTTTTGTACTTTCTTCTTTACTTCTCTAGTTGTAGGACTTCCATTCAGCCAGCTTTCCAGCGGTTCTGGATGATGGTTGTTCTGTATTTCAGTTGTAATTTTGATGGTTGTGGGAGGCAGCTAGTACAGGCGTTTACCATCGCCGCCATCTTCTATGCCAGCGGTTCTCAACCTGTGGGTCGCGACCTCTTTGGCGGTCGAACAACCCTTTCACAGGGGTCGCCTAAGACCATCCTGCATATCAGATATTTACATTACGATTCATAACAGTAGCAACATTACAGTTATGAAGTAGCAACGAAAATAATTTTATGGTTGGGTCACAACATGAGGAACTGTATTTAAAGGGCCAGAAGGTTGAGAACCACTGTTCTATGCCTTCCCTTTTGTTTTCTTTTGTGGGGTTTTTTTCTGTTCGTTTTTTCTTTTGTGCCTTTCTTTTAAAAAAATATTTTTTATTGGTTTTTAGAGAGAGAGAGGGAGGGAGAGGGAGAGAGAAAGACATTGATTGGCTGCCTCCTAAACAGCCCCTGGGACCGAACCCACAACCTGGGTATCTGCCCTGAATGGGAATCAAACCAGCAACCCTTCCATGCACAGGACGACGCCCAACCAACAGATCCAGCCGTGCCTTTAGGGCTGAAAGGAGTTGCTTCTCTGGGTGGGTTTGGGGTTTATTTTGTCAGATTTTTCAAATATCGTTCTCACATTTTTCTTGCTTTCTGATATTTTTTGTGGTCAGCCCTGAGGAAAGGAATTTTTCTTTTGTGGCTGAGACTTTATTGCTTGTGTTGAGGCTCGGTGCCCAGGCGTTGGAATTGTGCACAGTGCTTACCATGGGGCAGGCCGACAACCTAAGAAGCCACGTGGCCGGGATTGTTCTCTGAGGAGTTATTCCCGCACTTCCCGGGGGACAGGTGGAGGGAAGCGTGTTGCGCAGTGCAGGGTGGGACGTGCCCATGGCTCCCGAGGTTGCTGAGCTGATAGCCCAGGCCCCGCTCCCTCACAGGTTAATATCATGAGACGACATGCCCCAATTTCTTTTTCACGGCTAACGTGCCTTGAAATTAATATGTGACATTATTACGGAAATTGGACTATTGTGCCCAGGGACAGAGAAAGGCAAGATCAAGGAGGGCTTTTCATTAGGAAGAGTACTGAAAAGCAACAGAGATAGAGGTAATTTTATTTGTAATTTTTATTTCTTTAAACATTTTTTATTGCCTGGCCAGCATGGCTCAGTGGTTGAGTGCCGACCTATGAACCAAGAGGTCATAGTTCTATTCCTGAGAGTGGAAGAAGAAGAGAGAGAGACAGAGAGAGACTTCGATGGTTGTTTCCCGCCCGCAACCCAATTGGGGCCGGGGATCAAACCTGCAACCCAGGCACATGCCCTTGACCAGGAATCAAGCCCACGACCCTTCGGTGCAATGGCCGACACTCTGACCACTGAGCCACACTGGCCAGGGCAATTTATTTTGTAAAATTTATATTTATTGTTGATCTGCAGGTGCCTCCCGGGAAGGAGCTGCCTCTCAAGACACAGCCCCCTCCCAGCCCCTGCACTCCTGGCCGGCCCCTCCCCCACCAGACCTCTAAATGCTGGGGGCTGGGGTGCGAGCCTTGGTGGTCACCTGCCTGTGGGTCTGTCTTCTCTGTAGGTGGCCTCCTTCAGTCTCCCCCCCTCCAGGGTTTCAGTCCCTCTGCCAGGCATAAGAGCACTATCTAAGGTCTATGTCTCCTCTTTTTAAAAAATATTTTAATGATTTCAGAGAAGAAGGGAGAGGGAGAGGAGAGAGATAGAAACATGAGTGATGAGAGAGAATTGGATGCCTCCTGCAGGCCCCCTGCTGGGGATGGAGCCCACAACCTGGGCATGTGCCCTTGACCGCAATCGAACCCGGGACCCTTCAGTCCGCAGCCCGATGCTTTATCCACTGAGCCAAACCAGCTGGGGCTCCCTGTGCACCCTCTTCCCACAGCCAGCTGCCCACCGGGCCCTTCCCCTGGGCAGCCCCCTGGCCTCTCACACAGGCGTGTCAGACCTTGAACCTCCACCACATGGAGCCGGCACGTCCGCTATTACCTGTGGCTGAGGTGTAATCTGGGGCGGGTGGAAACTTGTTTACCGTCCGTCTGTCATTACGTCGGGATAAAATCGTCTAGACGTTCGAAACCAGTTGTTCCCGGAATGGATTGCTTCATAGTTTTGCCATGAGTGGTCTTTAGTTTTGTTTACGGTGTTGACGTGCAATGAATTATTGCTTTATTAACCCAAGAGTTCAGCTGTCCTCGGATCGAGGTGGAGGTTTGGGGAAAAGGTGGGGTTTCCGAAGTGAGGCGTGGCTTCATTCCCATTCGCGACCTCCCCAAGGGGGCGCTGCCCGCTCAGCCGCCTGCCTGG